TTTCTCAACTGCTTCCAGAACATGTACATCCTTCCTTAAATAATATTATACACCAGATTTATTCTAGATGTGGTCACTGACCAGCACTCTGTATAACTGAAGCATAAGCTCCCTATTTTTGTATTCAGTCCCCCTTGGAATAAATAATAACATTTTTCATTTTGCTGACTTTGAGATGTTTCTGAGACTGCCATTATTTCTCTCCTCCTATTGATAATCCCCCCTTCTTCCTTTCCACATATTTCTCCAATCATCCTGTGATTACCATCCTGTTTTTGATTTGATTTGATTTGAGTTCTTACTGTCACATGTACTGAGATACAGTGAAAAGTATTGTCTTACTTGGCTTGCAGGCATATTGTACTATATAAGTGTATCTGGGTAACAGAACAGAGTGCAGGACATAGTGTTACAGCTGGCAAGAAGGTGCAGAGAGATCAACATTAACAGTTGAGACCATTCAAAAGCCTGATAAAAGCGAGGAAGAAGCTGTTCTTGAATGTCTTCGTACGTGTATATAAACATTTATATCTTCTGCCCGATGGAATAGCGTGGAAGAGAGTATAACTGGGGTGGGAGGGGTCTTTGATAATATTGGTTGCTTTCCTGTGGCAGTGAGAAGTATAGATGGAGTCAATGGATGGAAGGCTGGTTTGCGTGATTGACTGGGCTGTGTTCACAACTCTCTGTAGCTCTTCACAGTCCTGGGCAGTGCATTTGCCATACCAAGCCATGATGCATCCAGACAGAATGCTTTCTATAGTGCTTCTATAAAACTTTGTAACAGTCTCAGCACCACTGATGCAGACAGGGGCATGCCCTCCACTCTGCTTCCTGAAGTCAATGACCAGCTTCTTCGTTTTGCTGACATTGATGGAGAGATTGTTCTCTTTACTCCATGATCCTTAGCAGAGAGTCATCGGACTCTGTCGATTGTTTGACTTCTTCAGCCTGCACTAACTTCTCAAATCCAAGTGATGTTTCAAAGCAGGTCTTTAAGCCCTCTCCTTTACATGACGTTACTTAGAAAATTCAGAAGAGAAATATCAAGCCCAGTTGAACCACATCTGAGTTTATGCTCCACCGAAGCCTCTTAACACCCTTCTTTATCTCACCCTGTCAACTTAATCTTCTGTTCCTTTCTTCATCATGTACATATCTCGCTCAAACAAAAACAGAAATTACTGACGTTTCAGCTCAAATGTGAACTCTGTTTTCTCTTCACAAATCCTGTCAGAGTTGATGAATCCAACAATTTCTGTTTTTTGCTTGTTTCAGTGTCCAGCATCTACAGTTCTTTGTTTTACTTTAATGTATATCTAGCTTCTGTTTAAATGCATTAATGCTACTCACTGCACCTACTTCATAAGGCAGCAAGTTCCACATTCTAACCACTGTCTAGGTAAAGGCTTTTCTATTGAATTCGCTATTGAATACTTTGGGGATTATCTTACATTTATGGCTTATAGTTTTGGTCTCATTTGAATCATGATTCATCTTTTCAGCCTTGCATTTTCTAGAGGAAAGGTGATTCAATCTTTCTGGATAATAATATTCTCTCAGTTTCAGCATCATCCTCATAAATCTTTCTAGCACCCTCTCTGTGTACTTTTTTGTAATTTGAAGATCAAAACTTTGCAATGTGTTATTGCCAGGGTATTTTTACAACCTTAACATATCTTCTGTGTTGTTCAGTTAGGCATGAACCCCAGTCCTTGGTTTCCGTCTTATGTGACCTTATTAACCTGTGTCACTATCTGTAATAATTCATTTTAAAGAGTAATTGACTTAGAGTCCACCTTTAGGCTTTTGTTTCTATCTTTGTTTCTTGAGAACAGTTTTGGTCTGTCTAAAAATTACTTCGTTTTAAAACTTGTGTTATATATTGCACAGTGAGGAAAAACAAAACTGCCTCAGAGATAATTCATTTTTATATATTAAAAAAATATTATTTGCTACAACAAAATGCAGTGGCTGGATTTGCCATTATTGCCCTGGGAGTAACAACAGTGGGTCCCACCTTCCCCATCTCTAATTGTGCCAGACTCTAAACTGTTCATGTAAGCTTTAGTATCAAAGCCCTGGTTAAATGACTTTAGGCCACACAGTGTACTGTAAGAAAATTCATGCGAACAGATTGAAAGCTAAAACGCTAGTATCAGAAATTAAATTAATGCAAGTGAGAATGAAAAAAAATCTAATTAAAATAATTTGAAAAATGGTTTTAAAATTGGTCTTGACACCAGCATTTACCAAGCTGTCATCAACAATACTGCAAGCTACACATTTAGATCAAGCGTTTAGAAACAAGCAGCATGTTTTTTTTAAGCTGGGAACTAATATTGACAAGCTGCTAATAGGCATATACACAGGACTGAAAATGCGTACTCTTCTTGGCTAATTACCAGGCTGCTCTACAGTAGAATGGTATAATCTGCGGAACTCCCAGCATGCGCTTTGATAAAGAAAAAAAAAGCCATTAATTTCTCCTTATTGTAATTTAGATCAGAGTTGAGACATACACAGTTCCTTTCAGGGTAGAATAACTGCTATTAGCAGCACTGGCAAGATTATTCCTCAGAAGCTGCATGGTTAATTACATAGAATACTGCATAAATTGTCAAGTGCAAAGAATAATTTTGATAAATTAAAATACTAATTAAATAGGCCTTTGCAGAATTTTGAGAACATTATAGGGTTCAGCTCTTCCAGCCTATTTGCATATCCTTCATCTGGGGATTTTTTAAAAAAAGACATTTTTTTTGCACGTGGGAGCAGTCAAGAAAGATTCATAGACAATAATTTGGTTAAAGGTTTAGTAACACACTGTTTCCATTTTCTGTTCTTCATATTTCTATTCCTTGCCTATCTAATTGCCTGTTTTGAAAGTGTTGCATTATTAATTAACAGACCAGGTTTAATATATATTTCAGATAATATTCTTGATTTTAATTACAAACCACGACTATATAGAGTTTAGGAAAAAGCCTGTTTTACTTAGGCTCTGTGATCTTATGTACACAGAAAGAAGTTATTAAGTGATACAAGGTAATGATTTAAATCTCTCTTACCCCAAATGAATGACTACTACTTTTATAAAATCTCAGGCAGGATGTTTAAAATCTGGTAGAATTTCAGGGTATTTTTTTAGGAAATGTACAAAGGTTGCCTTTTTTTTAAATGTTTCTGTAGCCACCTCACAAAGTATTAAAGTTGCTACAGTTTTAGTGTCAATGGTGTTAAAGGATTGCTTAGTATTCATCTGTCCTTATATGCCCGCTCAGTAGCCCTGGCCTGTTCTTCAGTTGCCATTATTTTTTTCATTTAGGGATGTGAGCTCCTCTATCTGGGCCAACCTTTATTACCCGTCCCCATACTGTCTTTGAGAAGGTGGAAATGAGGTTCTTGAACCACTGCTACCATTTGGTGTAGGTAGACCCACAATGCTGTTGGGGAGGGTGGGGGAGGTGGCGGGGTATGGGGTGTGGTGGTGGTGCGGGGGGATGGCGAATGGTCAATGGTCGTACGGGTGTTCATGGATTTTGAACCCAGCAACACAACTGGTGATACAATTCCAAGTCAGGATGGTGAGTGGCTTAAGCAAAAAAGAAAATTATTTATCTCTTAAGGGCCACCTCCCGCCCCGGCTGAGGTGTCGCAGGTGCTGTGTGCCTCATTCAAGGGCTTTCCTTCTATATTGACCACACTTCCAACCCCCTCCCAGGTTATTCTGTCCTGGGGATTCTCCCGCTCACTCTGGCCTTGCCATTGTTGCCTTTCCCATCTCAGACCTCACCTCATCTACCTGCCGTGAGCCCTGCCATTCACTTAGCTAGTCCTGGACTTGGGGACCTAGATTGGGTGAGGCTGTTTGCAGTCTCAGCCCGAGCCAACACAGTCACTGGTGCTGTCGCTAATATAGAGCTGCAGGCCATCCAGATCGATTGGGAGCTTCTGAGGTAGGACATCTGCCCAAGTGAGGAGTAGAAGTCCCACCTCTGGCTAGGGATGTGGCCATCCAAGATATCCTTGTGTGACTTTAGCCTGGAAATCTGCCTCATGATTCCACAATTGACTGAGAGCCAAATATTCTTCCAACATATTGTCTCACTTGTGACATGTTAGTGATCTGCTGAGCTGAATGTGGTAGCAGAGATAGTAGGAACTGCAGATGCTGGAGAATCTGAGATAACAAGGTGTAGAGCTGGATGAACACAGCAGGCCAAGCAGCATCATAGGTGCAGGAAGGCTGACGTTTCGGGCCTAGACCCTTCATCAGAAAAATGTGATAACAGTTCTGTGTGAGAATATATGTACGTTGAGTCAAGTTGCTTCAGCTTTTGGTTTGGGCTCTTAAAAAGATGTGCAGCAATAAATACAGAAAATAAGTGTTGAAAAGGGAAGTACAACGGGTCAGTGGTTAGTGGTAATCCGTGTTCGATTTCACCCTCGGGTGTCTGTCTGTGTGGAGTTGCTCCAGTTTCTCCCCACAGTCCAAAAGTATGCAGGTTAGATGGATTGGCCGTGCCAAACTGCTCATAGTGTCCAGGGATGTGCAGTCTAGGTGGGCTAGCCATGGGAAATGCAGGGATACAGGGATGGGGTGGGTCTGGGTTGAGCGCTCTTCCGAGGGTCGGTGTGGACTCAATGGGCTGAATGGCCTGCTTCTACACTGTAGGGATTCAATGAAAACCTCAGTGATGTTTGCTCAATATGAAACATACACTGGCAGCTTTTGCGTTCATGGTGATTGATTTGTTTTCAAGTCGAATTTTAAGAAATAGTACATATTTGCAACTTTGTAGGGCGCCAACAAATCTCAAATTATTTTTCTCTATAATTGCATGGTTCCCCTAATGTAGACACTCTGTAAGATCCCATTCTGAAAATCTGACAGGCTGACATACCCAATCTGATGCTGTGCATGTTTCCTGGAATAATGGTGGAGGTGTGTTCCGTCCGTACACCCAGTTTAAATTTGTCTTCTTCTTTTTTTGCAGAGATCAACAAAGAGAAACTTGAAAAAGAAACAGGATTAAAAATCTTGAGTACTGGCATGAGAGAAGTAAGTTGAATTTTGTTTTAATCCGGAAGGTATATTCCGTGCTCTAATCTGAACAAATACTTCCATCCTGCATTGCACAGCTGATGAATGTCATCTGTATTTCAGTCTCATTTTCATGACAGCAGTTCATCTCTGGTTCCAGTCTGTGGATTTAAGGTATCCAGGAATCAGTCTGAATACATACAAGACTGGACTGCTTACACTGAAGAAATTAAAATGCTCGAAGTTCATTTATTAGTTATAGCACTCAGGTGACACCAATGTAAACTGATTTTTTTTTATTAACTCATAGGACATAGGCGACACTGGCTGGGCCCATCCCTATTTGCCCCTTGAGAAGGTGGTGGTGAGCTGCCTTCTTGAACCGCTGCAGTCCATTTGCTGTAGGTAGACCCATAATACTCTTAGGGAGGGAATTCCAGGATTTTGACCCAGCGACAGTGAAGGAACAATGATATATTTCCAAGTCAGGATGGTGAGTGCCTTGGAGGGGAACTTATAGGCGGTGGTATTCGCATGTATCTGCTGTCTTTGTTGTTCTAGATGGTAGTTGTTATTGGTTTGGAAGGTGCTGCCTAAGGACCTTTGGTGAATTTTTCTGCAGGGCGTCCTGTAGAAAGTACACCCTGCTGCTATTGAGCATCAATGGTGGAAGGAGTGGATGCTTGTGGGTCTGTTGCCAATCAAACGGGCTGCTTTGTCTTTAGCTTTGCATCATTGCAAAGTATGTCAAACAATTACTCAAATAGCAAAAATAAATCCTGTTGTGTCTTACTTAGAGTTTACAGCTGAGATTTAGGATTTCTGCTCAACTGGTCTTCGATAGGGTCTGCATTCTTCAAGGACCTCCTCCCACCCTATGTATCTCAGCCTATCATCGGGCTAAATCTTTTCAATGATGGTCACGCCCCGTGTCAGGGTTGAAAATGGTTGCTGACACCTCTCTTGTGACCAGTGAGACTCAGGGGCAGAATTGTGCCAGGGCAGCCAACAACCATCCACTCAAAGGTGTTGGCTTTGCCCAAGAGCCGCCAATTGAGACATGCCCAGTTATCAGCGAGGTGGCAATCCCAGGGAGAAGGCACTACTATACCATTCCCACTGGGCTGACTGGTCTGTGGACAGCGGAACACACGTCAGGGAAAGGGGATGTCATCAGGGTTTACCCAGCCATCTTCCTTCTCACCCAATGATGGGAACCTCCTCAACATGGGCAAACTGCTTTGGGGCTTAGTGGGGAGGTGATGGCCACCTGGTATTATCACTTGTCCAGGGGTCCAGGTAATGTTCTGGGGACACAGGTTCAAATCCTTCCTTACCTGACGGTGCAGTTTAAACTCACTAAGAGTTTAAGAATGACAATGAATAAATTGTCAGGGAAGGTCCATCTGGTTCACTAATGTCCTTCAGGGAAGGAAATCTGCCTTGTGTGACTCCAGACCCACAGCAATGTGGTTGGTTACTAACTGCCCTCTGGGCAATAAAGGCTGGTCCAGCCAGTGATGCCCACATCCTGTTAAAGAATTAAAAAAAGAAGCCACCTGGTGGGTTGCCATGCTGCTGAGGTGCCCGCTGCTACCACAGATGGTAGGAAGATTTCAGCCTCTCCTCCCAACCCCTCCATTGGCATTTTGACAGCCCTCGGAGGCAGGGTTGGGAAGATTCAGCCCAAAGTGTCCAGTAAAACACCCTATAAAATAGAGAAATACATTAAACAGAAGTATATTTTTAAGACTTTCCACCTGCTCAAATCTATGGGGATGGCAAGATTGGTGTGTAATGGGATCGAATTGGCAGCGGATATTTCACCACGTCTGCTCTTCTCCTCGGTCTGGTTCACAGAGCAACAATTCAAACTCTTTTTGGAGTCTCTTCCCCTAGTCTCACTGTTACTTGCGAGTTAAAATCTCAGCAATGTTCTCCAGGTAAAAACTGGAGCGATGGAAGACCATTGGGATGTACCATGAGCCCGTTTCATATTACCAGCATGGACCCACAACCCCAAGTACACAGCAGCAAAGGCTATTTGACGGCTGCAAAACAAATCTGAGCTCATAAAGTTTAAAAAGCAGTCATTTTTATGTGGCCCTCCTTGTGCTGTTTAATCCACATTCATTAAACAAATGCACTCGGTCAGTTATAGCAAGGTGTAGAGCTGGATGAACACAGCAGGCCAAGCAGCATCATAGGAGCAGGAAGGCTGACGTTTCAGGCCTAGACCCTTCTTCAGAAATGTTGTATGTTTTTAATATTAACGAGTGGCAGGTATTGCTCCCTTGACTTTGGTTCACAGTAACAGGCTGAGAGTCCTCCTTGTCAGCCCTAGATGTAGGGTACAATATGCTGGAGATTACTGCACTGCATCTGCATGAATATATACCATAGGGCATCAGTGGGTTTAAAATGTAAAAACCAGAGAAGAATGTAATCAAGGCAAAAGGAACTTATGGGCCACCCTAGCTTCTCATAGACTCTGAAAAATAACATTGTGCTTATTGTTGTCTCGGTCAATTTTGGCTGCAATGCCAGATACAACAGATGAATGATTCACTGGACGTTCTTTGTCTGTTCTCTCTCTTTCTGTCTCTCTGTCCCTCTCTCTCTCTCTCTCAGTAGCTATTGGCCTTCTATTAAAATAGTAAAAGGATCTATGACTGGGACAAGGTGGGTTTTCCAACCGTCTGGTCAACCAGCTAATTGTAGGTCTCCTCCAGGATGGCATTAGGCCTAGAATGTGATACAGATGTTAGAATGGTATCCCAACACAATTGAAGCAGAATGAGAATGACGGGCAAAGTCTTCCTGTGCCAGGGGCACATTGCCATAAGGTCATGCCAGCTCACTACGCTGTAGGAGGTACTGGTCATGCTGAAGGTTGCTGCCAACATCCTCTTCAGATCAAATTTATTCTAGTGAAGCAAAGGGAAAACACTCTAGGTCTAACTTTCATAGCTAAGAAGACACAGGACTGATTTTTTTTGGCTAAGTCCAAGTTGTGTCGAGCTTTTTGGAGGCCTTCTCGCTGTGAGACCTATTGAGTTCTCTCACCGTAACTTAGCAAACTCACCTCATTAGTTACATACCCTGTCCCTACAGCATAACTTATATCTGATTTCCATCCCATCTTATCATGAACCATTCGGGGTATTTCCCAGAATTCACCAGCATCCTTTGCTCTCATGCCAGCCCTGTGCACTCGGATAAGCACTGGCAGTTCAGAGCTGCCCCTGCACAGTTGCTTGTGGTTCTGCCAGGGAGAAATCGGTGCCCTGCAGTGTAGGCAGAGACCTGGCAGCCCTGCTACATGGAGTAGTGCACAGTCAGGACTTTCTCTTGCCCTAAGAACAGTGGAGGCCATAACACCAGACTGTGCCAGCCTAGTCTGATGTTGGCACTAAAGTTAAAGCAGTTTCAGCTATTTGAAGGAGTGCCCAGCACTGTAGGAAGGTCAATGACCTTCTCCACTCTGGCAGTGCCACCGTCTTCTCTCTGATACCTCACACTCACTCTATCTCTGTCACTGCACCCATCTCCCACTAAGGCTCATGTGCTACCAGTCTCACCATTGTCTGTCACATCTTCTCTTACTCACTGCCATCCAGCCCATTCACCCACATCACTTACCCTGCCTGCCCTCTGCGATGCCAACACTCACTCAGGACATCTCCCCACCCACACCAATAATAACAGCTGTGCCATCTACTTTCATCTCCCATAATCCCTGGCTCTGTCTCATTCCATGAAGAAAACAATTCCCTATAAGGAGAAAGAGTAACTTCTCATGAACTGAGGGTCCTGACTCTGATCTCCCCAACACAGGGCCTGGACTGGTATTGGAGGTTGCCTTGACTTACTGTGCCAGGAAGAGCTTGATTTGATAGAGACCTGCTGTAACTTCTATCCTTTGTCTCTCTGCTAAAGACAGCCATAATATTGCCTGATCTCTCTGGCTGGTAGGGCAGTGTGTGAAAAGGCCATTCAAAGGCAAAGGTGCTGTGCGCATTCAGATGGGCTCAAAGTGAGTAAGCGCATAGTAGACTGACTTGTAAAGTTACATCACATGGGACTCAGGAAGAGCTAGCCAATTGGATACAAAATTGGCTTGATGGTAGGAAGCAGAGTCTGGTAGTAGAGGTAACAAGGTGCAGAGCTGGATGAACACAGCAGGCCAAGCAGCATCAGAGGAGCAGGAAAGCTGACGTTTCAGGTCTGGACCCTTCTTCAGAAATGGGGGAGGGGAAGGGGATTCTGAAATAAATAGGGAGAGAGGGGGAGGCGGATAGAAGACGGATAAAGGAGAAGATAGGTGGAGAGGAGACAGACAGATCAAAGAGGCGGGGATGGAGCCAGAAAAGGTGAGTGTAGGTGGGGAGTTAGGGAAGGGATAGGTCAGCCCAGGGAGGACGGAGAGGTCAAGGAGGCGGGATGAGGCTAGTAAGTAGGAGATGGGGGTGGTAATGTGGTATACTGTATCCGCTGTTCCCATTGTGGCTTCCTCTACATCGGGGAAACCAAGCGGAGGCTTGGGGACTGCTTTGCAGAACACCTACGCTCGGTTCGCAATAAACAACTGCACCTCCCAGTCGCGAACCATTTCAACTCCCCCTCCCATTCCTCAGACGACATGTCCATCCTGGGCCTCCTGCAGTGCCACAACGATGCCACCCGAAGGTTGCAGGAACAGCATCTCATATTTTGCTTGGGAATCCTGCAGCCCAATGGTATCAATGTGGACTTCATGAGCTTCAAAATCTCCCCTCCCCTGACCGCATTCCAAAACCAGCCCCACTCGTCCCTGCCTCCCTAACCTGTCTTTCCTCCCACCTAATCCTCCTCCCACCTCAAGCCCCACCCCATCTCCTACCTACTAGCCTCATCCCGCCCCCTTGACCTGTCCGTCCTCCCTGGACTGACCTATCCCCTCCCTAACTGCCCACCTCCACTCGCCTTTACTGGCTCCACCCCCGCCTCTTTGACCCGTCTGTCTCCTCTCCACCTAT